GATTTAGGACCGACAACAGAAGTGTGAGAGGCTATGTGAGGAAAAGTATAACAACGTTTATGAGAACAGCGAAAAGTACCAGGTTCTTTGTTAAAGGGAAGAACTCCCTTGACCAAGAAAGAACGAAGATTACGATCACGTTTATAAGAAAAAAGAAGGCGGTTGTTGAAAATAGCAGAAGTGCGAGTATCAGAGTCAAGCAGAGAAAAGTTGCGGTTAACAATAGGTTTAATGGAAATGTTAATAGGATGATACGTAAGAGTGAAAGGAATGCGATCATTAGGGGGACGAGTGTGAGGAGTGAGAGCAGTGGTACGATCAATAGTAGAAACTTTACGAATGGCGCGATCAATAACATGAGCAGGATAATTACGCTTAAGGAAGAAGGAACGCATCTCAGAACATTTAACACAAAAATCAAGATCTTTCTACCACTTCTTTCTCTTTTACTCCAACGAAGGACTGGCGTCCGAAATGTCAGTAAGTTTTTTCATCTTTTCACGTTGTATAATTTACCTTTTCATCATTACAATTCTCTTTGGTTCACAGTATCTCAGGACTGCAACGGGGACGCTGAAAGTACTCGTTAGCAATAACCAACACAATAAAGAGGTGATGCGAGATATGGGCATGATTCACACACTACAAAAGTAAGTATGTTATATACTTATTATAGAGTAGTCTCCTACTCAGCCGCTATTAGTGTCGTCACGCAACGCTTAGGGGGGTGAGCGTGGCGTGACGACACTAAAAGCGGCCTAGTAGGAGACTAATTATGGGGAAGCACTGGTGAATGTGAGTAGAGTTGCTTGCTGGTTCTCTCCGGGTTTTCCGGTTATCCTCCCTCCGCAAAAATCAACTCCTTAATTCCAATTCGATCATGAAACGAAGACCACRAATTTGTTAGCCACCGGCTATTAAGTATTATTCTCGTGAAAAACGAGGACGGTTTTTTTCAATAAAAATAAGTCGCTGAAAACCAGCAATGCTGAAWTTGCTRAGGATCATGGAAAACATTTCATAAGAAACAAGTTTTTTAAATGTTTTTCCTTCAGACTGACAACATCGTCTCAGTTCAGTTCCATCACACGTCGTCTGTGTTCAGATTTACTCCAGAGATTAATAGGTTGGGCAGCAGTTGGCTTTGACGTTGGTTTGTCTCCCGACAAAKCACCTACTACACTCCACTACCCCTCCCCACAGACAACAAATGGAACCATGGAAACGAGGACTGACATTACAAGACTTCAGCTCAGTAATGGGGTTGATAATGATGTAGACGATATGCCGCMTCTTGAGGGGTCAGACGASGAGGAGCWTGRAGAGATACCTCAAGTCAATGAAGAAAAGGCAGGCAGTACACACGATAGAGCAAAGATATCCACGAAACAGAAAATAACGCCTCTGATGCCACAGCTTTTAAATCAAAGTAGAGAAGACACTCGTTTAGCAGATGAAAACGATAACAAGAGGTGATTTAAATCCCTTGATTGTAAAAATAAAGAATTGGGTCCTTTACGCCAACTACCCAATTCCCAGCTATTCCTAGTAGCGAAAGCCGGGTCTATAACTTTTCAATTCTGCCATACTTTATTCCATGTATTTCGCCTTTTTGCTATCCTATTCTTTGCTATCCTACTCTTCCCTCTAATTAAATTACCCTACGCAAGAGCGGATTCAGAAGAGGGGCCCAGGGGGTCCGGTATATTACGATTTAGCATATACTAACTTGTGTACTTCCTAAGAACGCGCGCGCTCATTGGTTAATTGGAGGTGAATATTGTACGATATTCACCTCTGAATCTCGGAATATTGAGTCGGCAGCAAAATGGCATCTGCCGGCAATCGTTTTGCTACAATTTCCGATGAGGAAATTGAAAAAATGAAAGTAAATGCCATTCCTATCAATACTAAAAAGGCAACGAAGTTTGGCCTAAAAGTTTTGCTAAAAGTTCTGCTAAAAGTTTTGCTAAAAGTTTTGCTAAAAGTCTTGCGTGAATTTGTCACGCAAACTAAAAGTTACTGTTTGTTTGTTTTTATTGAATTATTGTATATTATATATACTCGCGTCTCGGTAAATATTTGCGAATCGGCGAATAATTGCTAAATATTACAGAGAATCTTTATACTATGATATCGTAAACCTTTCTATTGAAAGTCATGACTTTTATTTAGGTTCATAAACTGAAAGACAAATCACGCTGTCTCTTATACCAGTAGTAACACATACACAAGTGTTACGACTGGTATAGTGTATGTATTACGTCAAACATGATGTCACTAATTGAGTATAGCTTTGAACCCCCCACCGCTCAAAAAAAATCCTGGTTTCGCCCTTGCCTAGCCCGCATTTTACTTTGCCTCGCATCTTCATATCAGAATGACCATACTTCGCTTTCCTTCCCCTTCCGTAGATACAACCCTTTCACATTCTGGTCACAGACTAAGGATTTGGTTCGAGTAGCTGTTCGTTTACGAGGAGTAACGAAACACCAAACTGAAATACAAGAAAAGAAACTACTGTTCAGGTAAAACAAAAGAGTGTATGGCAATCATCGATAGTTCTGTAATATCAATATTCAAACAGTTCCCTGTAAAAGTAAATTGCTTGGTATCAGTCAGCTAAATGAATCTCATTAACAGCCTGCAATGACAGGCAAACACTGCTCGTCATGTGCTATCAATCAGAGTTGATTGCTTGGAATCAATCATCTGAATGAATGTAATGGATCTCAATACCAGACTACAATGTCAGGCAAACACTGCCCATTGTGCTATCAACCAGAGAGTATTCCAGAGAGTATTCTATTGCTTGGTATCGATCATCTGAATGAATCTCCAACTATGATAGACAAAGATCTAGCTGTTTTTTCCATAATATATGCATTCTGATTTAGCACAAGGATGCAAGGCAAGAACTACTCTTTGGATCTGGAGCTGTATGATTCTGTGATCACAGAGGTACGTCATCGTTTATGTATAAAGCAGTCAACAAAGAAAAATACAATACAGCGCTTTCCAGTAGGTGGACCTACGATGACGATTTGTTTTGGTTGTTATTTAACAAGAAATCACTTGAGCAATAGACCAAATTCAAAACTCGCACCGATGTGAGGCTTAAGTTGTGAACAAAGGGATCTGGCGTGACTCAAAGTAATCTGGCGTGATTCAAAAGTCACAACTTAAGCCTCACATCGGTGCGAGTTTTGAATGTGGTCTATCCAACCATTCGCCGTCGCGACGAAGTAGGTTTTGGTGGACGTCAATCATTGCGTTCCCATGACATTCCATAGGCACGTGCCCTTGAGAATTTTGTRTTTCCTGCTATAGGACGTTTGCACGATGGCGACATTGACCTCTACTACACTTTCTTTTGTTCAGCTAATTAGCACCAATATTGTGTTACTATTCTCATGAGGGAATACAAATAGCATCTTGGTATAGTGGGAGTCAAAGGACGCCATTATGTAATCGTCCTATTGCAATAACAATTGTACAGTTGAGCCTACAATGAGATTTTCTTTTGTTTTAAGTATCATACAAGTGAGACTATCGGRCCTATACAATACTTGTTGTCTCATTTGCATCTCATTTGCACGTATCTAAGGTTAAGGAAAACAGTGGGTCGAGTTGGTATTGCAGTGTATTGTGGGACTGTTTTAGGGGACAAAATAGACGTCATCTTGGAAACATGTCTCCTAATACTCCCATTTCGAGTTCGCCTCTGCTAAGCCTAGCCTCGATTGTCTACAAATGTGTTCTTTTCTTTTATTAAGGTSCATTTTATAGTAAGGAATGTACGCACTACAGAACAATACGTGATAATTAAAATGCCACGGGTTTTGGTTGAATAGCTGAATAYTATAACRCACARACRAGACTAAGACTGAGCAAAKAGAATTCGAAACTGGAGTATATAGTCCCACAATGCACTGTAATGCCAACTCGACCCAGTTCCCCCTTAATCTTGGRACGGCTAATGCCGACGTGCTTATGAGCGGTAAAGACACCATTCAGTCCTGCTACGTTGCGAGTAGAGACTCAAATATAAACCTTTGCTAGCAGGATATTTGAAAAGCTTTCACGATTACGGATTATTTGTTTTCATGGTTATAAGAATAACTATCATTAAGAAGGCCGATTATTAATCGATTAGTTATTAAC